ATTTTCATTACCATTATTCAATGGATTTTAAAAATGTTCGAACATTAGTTCGAATTTCGAAATTAATTTCGAATATCCGAACATTATAATGTATTGTCATTAGGTGAAATCATGTATGCCAAATTTCAGCACATTCGGACTAGAAGAACTAGTTTTAACAGCTTTAAAAATTTTTCGAACACGAGTTCGAATTTTCGAAATTTTTTTTTTAGATTTTATGACACAGAGATTAATTTAAAAACATAAAAAAAATTTCGAAAATAACTTCGAATTTTCGAACTTAATTTCGAATATTCGAACATATTATTGTATTGTCATCAGATGTACTTATGACTGCAAAATTTCAGCCAATTTGGGCTACGGGAACTGGTTTTAAAAGCTTTCAAACCTCGAATCTTCGAAAAATTTCCTTAATATATTTTTCGACAATTATAAATACTAATTAAATTCGTTTTTGAAAATTCATTATCAAATTCATTACCATTATCAAAAAAAGTTATAATGAAAAAAATATAATTTTCATTAAATGGTACTTAAAATATTTTTCATTACAATTTTTTCTATAAATGGTAATGAAATTTTAATGCTTAATGAAAAATTCCCATATATGGATGGGGGGTATATAAGATTCGGCATGGTCGAATACATATAACACTCTTACTTGTTTGATATATGTATATATATGTATACGCATACATTAGTATCCTAAATAGTATGTATATCCATAAATGAGTTGATCAAAATTTTAAGAATTAAAAAAATTGATTTATTGCAAAACATTACAGTTCAGAAATGTATGATTCCAGCCCATACTTGTTCTAGTTGCAGTTGAAACCAATTTTTTTTCCAAATTGTAATCTTCGAAAATTACGAAAAATCTAACTTAACCCTGAATTAAAAATTGTTTTTTTTTTAATACTTAACAAAATTTTCTACTAAGATTTATCAAAACAATAAATCTGTACTAAATTTGAATAAAATACAAAAAAATTTAACCCTTTTTTATGTAAATTCTTGTTGTCTCTTGACACAATACGACTCAAATTACAATTGAGCCTTTCGGCACCTAATTTTAAGGGCAACCAAATACTGATTGAATAAACGAAACGAAAGGATACATGACAACTTAAAAACAATCAATCAAATATCAAAACATTTCAAAATTTTAGAGTTAAACCTTCGAGTGTGAGAAATACAACATTCTCGAACATGAATATGTAATATGTGTAAAACCAAAACTACATGAATTTTTAATTAGTTAAAAAGAATTGATATAAAAAATTATATTTTTTTTTTTTTTTGTAAATGAATATTAAGAAATTTATTTTTAATTTGAAAATCTTTAAGAAGGACCAAAATGTCAATCTGTCAAAAATATGTTGAATACAATTGAAAGTAAAAATTTAAATACCTTAAAGCTAAATTGTAAGATTATTTCTTTGCTTTTTTATAAAAAATATGGGTAAATTATTCCCAATAGAAATGAGAATTATTTTGATTATGCAATATAAGATTATATTTCAGCCACTACCAAACTATTTCCCTGTAATGCAGCTGGTATTTAGTCGTGATTATAAAAAGACAATTAACGTTGAAGGTGGTCTAACAATTCTTGTAAATGTTTACTTTATTATTAAGAGAATACTAAAGATATTTTGAATAGACCATTATTTGCACAAATATACTCATCAATACAAAACATCAATGTCAATTTCTTATTATTGTCAAAGTCAATTGAGTTGTAACTTAAGACAATGACTCAACAGGAATTTACTATTTAGTTTTATATAGAAATTTGCAATGATTTTGTAAATTTTGTATGTTTACAAAAACATTATTATGACATTTCAATCTTCTATATAACAAAATTTCACATTTTCAAAGAAAATTTCTTTAAAAACTACAACCATTTTAATAAAGGGGAATTACATGTCAAGTGACCCAACTCAAAAAATGGATTTTGATGAAATTTGCACCAAGGTTAGATAAATTAGATAGTAGGTTAGTCTCAAATTGTCAGCTGTATCGGTCAAGAACTGTCGGACTTATAGGGGGTCAAAGTTGGACATTTTGGTCATACAGGGTTTTATTCAAATTAGTGTAACTTTTCACCTATTGGTCCTAGCAAAAATTGTCCAAAGGAGTTCAGATAACTATTTCTTCATTGTTTCCAAAATTTTTTTTTTAATTTTTTTTTCAAAATGGGCCCTTTTTTGCTTAAGAAAGGCATATACAATTTCCTTGAAGGGCTTTATAGTCCCATAATGGGATGCGATATCCCACTATCTATCAAAAAAATTATTTTTTAATTAAAGAATAAATTTTTTTTTTTTCAATATTTGGCAGTTGGTGCAAATTTCATCCAATTCGGAAGACATCGATTTTAAAAGTTGGGTCACTTGAAGCGAAATTCCCCAAAATATTTCAAAAGTTTAACAAAACAAATTTTTATATAAAGTTGTCGTTCTAGAAAGCATGATTATAGCCAAAAAGAGAATGACAACAAATTTTGGCATTGAGACCAATAATTTTTGTTCGAAAAAATAAAATGTGATTTAGTTTTCATAAGAAAGCATTTAAATAGAATTGTATCTTGCTTCAGATGTACTTAAACCATTTGTTGTTGAATAAAATTGTGGATATTTAAGTCAAATTTTGAATTGGGCTTTGTATAGGGGCTATGATCAAATGAGACCCTATAATTATTAAATTCATATGACCCTCATGGCTAGTAAACCTAGGTTTTGCAGATTTTTGTCGAGGTACGAGTATATTAAACATAATTATGAACTTAAAAGCGAGGTGAAATAATGGGCCGTTGTAGGATGTTAACCATTTTCAATAAGCTTCGTCTACGGTACCATGGAAGATCATGTGCTAAATTTCATTGAATTATCTTTAAAATTGCGATCTGTAGTTTGATTACAAGGTTTACATGGACGGACAGACGGACCTACATAGCTAAATCGATGATTCTAAATCGATTGGTATACTTTAAGGTGGGTATAGGATCAATATTATTGTGTGTTACAAATATCAGCACAAACCCAATATACCCTCCCCACTAAAGTGGTGTAGGCTATAAAAATTTGTGATATTTTAACATGAAAGCGGTTGAATTATATTTGTGCTTTAAATTTTTAAAATCTAGCGATACATCCTTATTAGTTTAGTTTAAGACAATGAGATGATTTAGTTTGCACCCGTTCTGGAACTCAAAAATTCAAAAAATTTCGTGGAAACTATAAAATTTGTTCTTGATCATTACAATAACGCTCCCATTAAGAAAATAGTGAAGATCTGTAATTACTTCTATTTTTCATCAAATAACGATTTTTATGAGAAAAACCTAAAATCGAATGTAGATCGTTAAAACGATTCAATAACATCCCTAATATAAGATGATGTAACGCTCAAATTGAGAAAATTGTGAAAATCTGTGATCACTCATATTATCCATCCATAAACCCAAAAATAAAAACGCTCCAATACAAAATATAGTTAAAATCTTCAATAATCCATAAGAAGTCATTAATCATCACTTCCACAGAAGATAAAAAATTCACTTAGTGCTACTTTTGAAGTGGTGATAAATGTTATTCTTTTGGAATAACTTCGTTTTATTTTTGCTGTCTTGTGAAATGTTTTAATATGAAATCTTTCTCATTTCTAGTTTATTCATAAATAAAAAAATGCAAATTGGAAATAATAACAATGTTTCTTTTATTTAAAATATTTTCTTTTAAAAACATTTTGTAAAAATGCAATATTTTGCAAATAACAACAGGTTAAAACACTTGAGAAGAAAAATCAAAATAATTCCTTTAAAAATAACTAAAATAAAACCCTAAGAAAACTAAGCAGGATAATCTAAATGAGTTATAAAGATCCTGCGCTTAAGTGTTTGTGTGTGAAAATCATTCACTAAATTGTACTAAAAAAACAAAAATATGAATGTCACACCATGAGGCCATGCGATTTTTTCCCTTCTATTGACACCTTTGAAAACTGTGTGTGTTCTAAATAAATTCAGCAAAATCCTTAAGGTAAACCAGCTCAGAAATAGTAACGTGCTGTTTTCAAAGCCAAATGTTATTAAAACTTATGGTTTTTTTGTATCAAAATATTTTCGAGACCAAAGCATAGATTTTGTTAAAATAATTGCAAATAAAAAACACCCAGAGAGTTAAAAGAAAAATGTTACTTAAGATTAAGATTTTTAAAATCTTTACAATTTCTTGAAAATTTTAGTCTTTGCAAATTTTTGTTTTATATTTCACATTGATTGAAATGTCATAATAATGTTTTGTTAGGGTATTCATAAAATACAAAATCATTGCAGGTTTTGTTCAATTTGAATAGTGGAAAATGGAATATCATGTTGTGTCATTGTCCCCGGTAACAACTCAATTGACTTTCATTGATTTTATGAATTGCAAGAAATTTTGTCATATTGATGTTTCAATTAACTTGTGTGGCAAAATTCTTTTCATGCTGAATTTGAAAAGTGAATTTTAAGAAAATCTTTTTCCTAGGAGGTGAATTATTCTAAACCCAAAGTAATTAAAATTTAAGGTCAATCATTTTAACGAAATGCTTTAGATGACATTTATGTTGAAATATAAAACGTTTCAAATCTCAATATTTTATCTAAATTGGTACAAATTTTGTAACACAATATTATATTTAAACAATTAAGATTTCGACAAGTAATGAATCGGTATCAAAATAATACGGTAAAGGGACGATTCTTTAATATTTTAATGTCGCGCAATAATCTATAATAAAATCTGCATAATATCAGTGCAAATTCTAATCTGAAACACTGAGAATCTGATATCTATTTAGGATACTATGTATACAACGATACACAACGGTTGTGAATTGGGCAATTAAAATCATACGATCAGCATCTTATGGGAAGTAGGTTGTTAGGATAGGAAGAAGATGTAGATACATACATATGTATGTATGTATATGGCTCTAGGTTATTCACTCACCTTAATTATCCGCAAGTTTGGGAAATATAATATGTTTAGAGTCTTGAGTTTTCGGAAATATGTAGTATGTATCTATAGCATTTCACCAATGGAGTTCTCCAGTTATCAAAATTTCCAGTAAATTATAAATGGTACAAATTTAAACAATTTTCTATTCCCTTTTCCAATTTGTTATTGGGAAAAATTACATAATTTAGAAAAAACTTAATAAAAAATGAAATATTATTTTTATAAATATTTTCAAAATGAAATATAAAACTAAAGTATACTTTGGTTAAAAGCAAACTTGGAACATAGGGTAAATCACATCCATAGAGTTGAAAGCATACCAGTACATAATGGGTGAAAACAATGATTTGTAAAAGGGCTGAATCGGTCCAATCAAAATAGGATAAGGTTCGACCGAAGTACAAAGTGAATAAAGAAACAAGAATTTATAGTCGAGCACGGCTGACCATATGATTCCCTACACCAGTGATTATGTCATATGTTTTGATTATTTTTTAATAATAAGTATGTAATTCGGAAATATTTTAACAAAATAGGTGTTATATGGGGCGGTGGGTTAATATGGTCCTATCCTTATAAATTTTGGTAGAGGGATTTACGCCTACATCAGTTATTAATGCCGAATATCATCGTGATATTAGTGTTTATAAGAAAATTTTTTGACCATCATCATGACCAGTATGGGGGATAGTGTTAAATGAGGCCCGATCATTACGAAAATCAGCAGTATCTTTAAGACTTATGTATATAAAACTAAGATTTGCCGATTTTTGGAGTAATACAAGAACATTTAACATATTTATGAACTTAAAAGCCCTATTTGGGGATAAGGTTATATGGGGGATATACGAAATAATGGACATGAAGGACATATGGAATGGAATGGATGGACATAGCTAAATCGACTCAGAAAGTGATTCTGAGCCGATTGGTACACTTTAAGGTGGGTGTAGAACCAATACCCACTATAATGGTATAGGGTTTAAAAACGGTAGTGCTCTTGGGTGACTTAGAATTCTAGATCTTAAGAAGAAAATGAAAATCTGCGGTGGACTTTACTTTCAGAGCTCCTGCCCAGCGCAAAGTATTACTGAGCTGACCACTGTTGATATAATTTTCCGTTTACATTGCATAGGTGCCTTGTTAGATGGCAGCTAACGGAGCCTTATTGTCTCCGATTTGTTCCGTTATTTGGATCAGCTCATCTTCTGTTACCAGTGGTATGTTTACAGTTTGAGGTATACTTGTCGTGGTTCGTATAGCATTCGCATGTTCCGGAAACAGGGATTTTACTATCTTCTCAAGCAGAAGAGGGCAGCTTGGTTGCGGAGATTTTTTGCCCTTGAGACGTGATGTTACTACTTGGTATGCTTTTCCCCAAGGGTCGTCGTTTGCCTCGAGGCAGATCTTATTAAAGCTGTTTTTCTTATTCCTATGATTAGCATGGTGGAACTCGCGTCTTGCTACCTGGAATTCCAGGCAGGCTTCTTCAAAGTCGCGTCGTCCTTTATAGCGTGTAAATCGTCTTCTAGCTCTTAGACACAAAGCGCGATGATTGCTAATTTCTGTATTCCACCAGTAGTTTGGCCGGCAATTTCTTGTTACCCTTCGTTTGGGCATGGATGCATTACAAGGCTTTTTAAGTTTTAAGGACATTTTGCCAACTTTATTCCCTGTTGTTCCATTCAGTTCGAGGTTGTTTTCGAAATCCTGCCTGAATAATTCTTTGTGTAAACGTCTTGTGGCCCAGTCCACATAGTCTGCTTTTATTTCCCTTCTGGCGGTATTTGATTTATTAAATGAGTTTGATGGTCTCGATCGCTGACTTTACAGTTAATTTCTTTTGCCAATGAAGTACTCAGAAATGTTAGATCGAGTATTACTACTGTTTGCTAAGACTAGGTTACGTCCGACGATTGCTTCGAGTAGAATACGACCTCTGGTATTTGTTTTTTTACTACCCCATTCTACTGCGCATGCGTGAGACTTCAATTTTTGGGTTATAGTTATCCGAATCTTTTAGCATAGCGTGTAGCATAAGTTCAAATTCACTAATTGTTGCACTAGGGGGAGTGTAGCAGCTGTATATATGCGTTCCGCCGATTTTAGCTCCTATAAATCCATAATTTACGTGTTCTGAGATGTCCTCTATAGCTTTGTTTCCATTGGTGATTTATCTGAAAGATTTTTTACCAAAGAATTGTTATTCATGTTTCACAGAGGATCGATTTTTATATGAAAAACATAAAATCGACTGTAGTTCCTTAAATAGAAAATAATGCAAATCTGTGATCACTTATACTTTCCTTTAAAAATGCAATTTTTATATGAATAACCATAAAATCGACCGTAGTTTCTTAAATAACGCTCCAATTGAGAAAATAATGAAAATCTGTGATCATTTATATTTTCCATCAAAAATCGATTTTTATATGACAAACATAAAATCGGCTGTAGTTTCCAAAATAACGCTCCAATTGAGAAAATAGTAAAAATCTCTGTTCTTATAAAAAAATGAAACTGAAAAATTAAAAGAAATAATTCAATAGTATTGAATCGGAATTGATGTAATGTAAACTTTGAACTACTAGATAATATGTAACTATGGACTTTTTCTTCCAATAAAAACTACAACAACACTTGCTGTTTAATATTTTTAAAAACGTCATCGTAGAAAGAATTTGAAATAATTAGTGGTTGCATTAAAACTGGCAAATGGAAACATATGTTACCAAATACAATTTACTAAACTCACAATGATCTAGTTAAAATAACAAGAGCACCTATTTTCTTTATTTTTACATTCCTCTGTTTTAAAGGAACATTGTTATTTTTGGTGACATGTGAAGTATGACATTATAATATAATTTCTTTCTTAAGTTGAAATTGTAAATAACATATGGTCGTTGTTGATCGTGGCAAGTCAAAAGAAAGGAGTATCTAGAAATAACAACAACAACAAAAAACAACATATTTTAGAGGAGGTTTAAGATATTACTCCAACAAGATAAGTTATGTGATCTATACAGCTATGAACTACTTTAAAACAATGAAGTGTGTATTTGAAACTAGCTGTATGTACCCGGTGTTGCCCGGGTTTTGTAGGTGGATTACTGATGTTTATATGTAGAAATACGTTATAACTGATTGAGGATTTACACTACATTCTCAACTGAAGCATTATTTTTACGGCGAATTATTTAAGGATCTAAAGCGTTTTTGGTTTTTTATATAAACAAGATTTTTGATCGAGAGTACGAGAGAGTTATTTAAGGAACTACAACTGATTTTACGTTTTCCATCCAGTGTTCACAGATTTCAATTATTTTCATAATTAAAGCGTTATTTAAGAAACCACAGCTGATTTTAGGGTTTGCAAAAAAAAAAATGTTTTTTTATGGAAAATATGTGCGATCACAGATTTTCATTATTTTCTCAATTGGAGCGTTATTTATGAAACTTCAACCGATTTTAGATTTTTCATATAAAAATTTGTTTTTAACGGATAATATCAGTTGTCACAGATTATCAACATTTTTTTAATTTTAACATTATTTAAAGGGGTTTAGGATTTTTACTTAAAAATGCGTTTTTTATTGAAAATATATTTGATTGGAGTGTTATTTAAGGACCTACAACCGAATATTGGTCCTACACCTTAAAGAATACCAATCGGCTCAGAATCACTTCCTGAGTCGATTAAGCTATGTCCGTTCGTCTATCTGTCTATCTGTGTGTCCATGTAAACCTTATTCGGTCGCAATTTTTGAGATAATTTGATGAAATTTGGAACGTGCACTTCTTTTGATCCAAGGATGCTATTGAAAATGGTTGAAATCGGTTCAATTTTTCACCTAGCCCCCGAATAGTGCTTTTTATATAATAATTATGTTAAATGATCTACTATCTCTACAAATCTACAATCGGGCCTAGCCCCATACGAAATCACCTTCAGAAAATTATTTGAACGTCCACGATTCACTTATAACAGTATGTCCGTCTCTATGACCGTGTATAAATCACATTTAATATTCGCAATTGGTGTAAGGTATTATATGGTCGGCCACACCCGACTATAGTTTCTTAGTTGTTTTGTTTAAAACTAAATTTTTTATGGAGAGTGATCACTGATCTTCACTATTTTTTTAATTGAAGCGTTATTTAAGGACCTACATGAAAAATTTCATGACTTTTTGCCATGAAATAGTAACAAATAAACACACAAACAAACAGACAATTTTATGTACATACATATATAAAGGATATTAGGATTTTAGTTAAGAGAAAGAATATAATACTTTGTCTATATTCGTATATTTTGCATATCATCTTCAAAAAAGATACAAATCATCAACATCAGAGTTTTAATGTAGTTTATGAAAACTAATATATACATACATATAAAAAAGAAATCCACATCTTAAGAGGAACACGCGCTTGTCGAACGAAACTAAAAACCACTGGAGCATAAAATTGAAAAAGAAAAAAACTTGCTTAACAGACCATCTCGATACACGTTCTCTGTAACGAATTTTAAAGAAAACAGGCATAAAGCCAATATGTATAAGAATGTACTATGTAGTATGTCCTATCGGTAGGATAATCAAATTGCCTTCAAGAAGTACACATATGGTAGCAGATACTCCTATCGATCTACTACATAGTAAAGTTACAAGAAAAAAATAAAACAGTATTGAAGAGAAAAAAAGAAAACAATCTTAGATACTGTCTTAATATTATAAAGATCATGGCAAAAGTGAATATTATGGAATATAATGAATACATGAATGGAAGTAATTTTTAAAGGAAAAGTGTTATTAAGATCT